TCTCGCACCTGATGTGCCACCTGGCAAATTTACGGTTCCAAATTACGGTCCCATAGGCGTCGGAACAAACGGTGATGCGCCCTTGATGACGGGAAGGCGCTTAGGCGGCGTAGCCGGCAGACGCACCGGTGCCTCATTTGGACGGGCGCCCGCGACCGTAAACCTCCCCCTTTGGGGACCGTATAGGCGCCCCCTGGGACCGTAAGCGCACGGAACCAGCATAGAACCTGTACGTAACAAAAATTTAATTTTTTTGCCAATGCCTTGCGCACCGTGTGCCTTCCCCTCCTCAGTGCAGATATCTTCAGTGCAGGTCGCGTCACAATGTACCTCCTGGCGCGACATAAATCACAAAAATATTGTCACACATTAATAACGACTCTATTTGTGTGTCTACGAATTTTTGTGACCTCCCGACGCTCGAGGCTTCCTTGACATCGTCCCCAGGCCTTTCCCTGGCTCGCTTCCACCTTTGGAATGCCCGCAGATGCTTACGTCATCCGGCGCGGGACCGTAAATTTGGCGGGGTTCAGCTCTACTTCGAGTGCTACCATGCGAAGGTCACACCCTCCCGATTACTCCTCGAAGGTCCATTCCCCGAACGATGCAATCGTGTTGTGCGCAAGTACGCAGGCCACACTTCCAACTTCCTACGCGTCTCCTTCATGGACGAGAATCGCTTGCAGTATCGTTTTGACCGAGATGTCGATGGATACGATTTCATTCGAAAGCGTTTCGGGACGCTCCTCTTTGAAGGTCTCTGGATCGCGGGCCGTCACTTCAAGTTTCTAGCCTATTCTCAGTCTGCGCTCAAGAATCATTCAGTCTGGTTCGTCCGAGACTTCACAGCGCATGAGAACGGCACGGAGGTCCACGTGACAGTGGATTCCATCATCGCTGGGCTTGGTATCTTTCGCAACGTACCTCAGGATCTAGAGCTAATGCGCTGCCCCGCCCGCTATGGTGCTCGTGTTGCCCAGGCTTTTACCACCACGGAGGCGGCAGTCGAGGTAGAAGTCGAAGAAGTGTTCCCGGTAGAAGATATGATGGACCCTAATGGCTATCGCTCTTTCACTGATGGGATTGGCTTAGTATCCCAGGAACTTGCAGCAGATATTTGGGGGGCACTTCAAGAGAAAAGTGTCCGTCATCGCCGTTATGGGAGATGTATGCCCAGAGCATTTCAAATACGCTTCCAGGGTTTTAAAGGCATGCTCAGCGTGGATCACAACCTCTCTGGCAGAGCCGTCTGCTTGAGGCTGTCGATGAAGAAGTTCGAAGCACCGGAGTCCATGACGATCGAGGTTGCCTCAGCCTTCAACAAGCCAGGACGACTCTACTTGAGTCGACCGCTGACAATGCTTCTTGAAGGCCTCAAAGTTCGAGGCGGTTTTGGGATTTTCAAGACCTTGCAGGACGCGGTTATCAAGGACACGAAAGAAGCCACAAGATCCTTCCGGCAAGCGGCAACGTTGTGGGAAGCGTACGGCCTCGGAACCGCCTTCAAGCTTTCGTCGATCTTCTTGGACTTGGCGAAGTTCGGTAGCGAAGCGATTGAAGACCCATTTTTGCTGCAATGCCTCAAATTCGGGATATATCACATTCTGCGTGATCTGAAGTATCACGCCAGGATCCCCGTTCCAAAGGGGTACTCACTGGTTGGCGTAGCCGACATCCACGGATATCTCAAGGAGGGAGAGATCTTCGCTTGCGTAGCTCAGAGCTGGTCTACCTTGAAGGTCCGACCATGATGACGAGGTCATCGACTATCCACCCGGGTGACGTACAGGTGGCAACCGCTATCGGTCGTCCGCCACCAGGAACTGTCTTTGATGAAGAGCCGTTGACTAATACAGTCGTTTTCTCTACCAGAGGTACGAAAAATAGGTTTATGCGCTATGTCAAAACTTACGTGATGATGTACTAGGCACTCGCCCTCTGGCATCTTGCCTCTCCGGTGGTGATCTGGACGGTGCGCTTCTGACTCCCCTGTTTTAATTGAAGAAAGTGTAACGTTTCACTCACAGGTGATGTATTCATGCTTACCACACTAGAGGGCCTACTACCTACAGAGATATATGAGCCGGCAGAGTATGCGTCAGCACAACGAAAGACAGTTCCTCACACAAGCACACGGAGGGACGTTGCCGATTTTATTCTCGAATATTTCTACAGCGATGCAAGTCCCTTCGAACCATCTTCTCGCGGCTTCCCAATACTAATTGACTTGCCCAGCAGAATATTGGAATGATCGTCTCGTCATGGCTAGTACAAGCAGACCAAAGCGACCAAGGCATTTTCGATGAGGCCTGTTTGACCCTTGCCGAGTTGCACAGCGACGCAGCCGATTACCCTAAGACCGGTAATCCGGTGTCCATGAGGAAAGTTCCCAGATACGCCTTGCCGACCATGAAGCCAGACTGGAGTGCCCCGGAGATCCAGGACAGGCTCGGTCTCTTCTACCAAAGCCAGCGGTCCATTGGTCGTCTCTACCGCGAGGTCCAGCTTCCCGTCCCGCGCGCCCAGCCGCCGCCTGCAAATGCATTTGATGTACATTTGAACACCGCGGACACCATTGCGATATTCCGTGTCAGCTTCAAGCCAAGGGATGTCCTGGAGCGCGTCATGTACAATCGCACCTCGCAGTTCATTTCTATGCCGGACGTACTGAACCATAGCGATATCGCCATCACAGAGATTTGCTCCATTCTTCAGGACTACGCGCGGACCCTGCGCCAGATATGCGTCTCCTTCAACATATCTCATAGGCGGGCGGCGCGGCTGAGCGAGGAGGAGGTTGTCGCTGGCACGATCGTTGCCCAGTCCAGCCAGCCGCGTGTCCGGAAAGAGGCGGTGTCTCAGATGCGCGAGCAGTCATCTTTCCTTGTCAGCCGTATCGCTGCCCGTATTGTCGGCCCCAAAGAGGGAGATGGCGGCAAGAACGAGGCACTAACTCGTGCATGGCTGGCCTACAGGTTAAGCACCCTGCAACCACATGCGTTTGGGTTTCGCAGCTTCGGTCTGGTTGCGATGCACGAGGTATTCGACGCCATAAAATGGATTGTGGCCATGGGGGAAAGGGAGAAGTTCTGTGCAGCGGTATAGCGGGAATGAAGAACGAGTATCCCGGGGTCGCATCGGACTTGTAACATAAATACAGCCACAACGCCGCTCACTCTGCGCTCACTCTATATCTCAGTGTGATGGTGACCTGCCCGGCAAGAATAATTATCCTGAAGAGGAAGGGTGGATAAACAAGTAATGGGAGAGCACATGTGCATATGACGAATGTTTAGTACGCGTTTGAGGTCTGGTTGGCTAATATGAACGCTAAAAGGCCGATTCACGGGATGAGAAGAGTCATCGTTGGGATATATGAGAAATGAACACGAAGCCCACGTGAGATATGCACATGGAAAAACTGTACACTGCGCCATATCCGACAGCATGTCCATGGACTGCTCACGAGCCGTCCTGCGGCAACCCTGAGTGGAGGCCAGCATCATCCAGACTTCGGTGGTCCTGGAGGTCTCGAAGTACGGTCGGATCGACTGATGCAGAGAGGACGTGCATCCTGTCAGCAATACGGTGAACCCAACTACGAACACCGTCCGCACCTGGAAGAGCACTCTTCCGCCGCGAGTGTAGATTCATACCACCAGGGGAATGTTCAAGCCCCCCTACCTCGGGGAATGGCCGCTGTACAAGCCTCAACCATCGCACAGTGCGTTAGACGAAGAGTCCATACTCACGTCCATCCCCAGATCAGCCACCGGAACCCTTTCGATTCCGCTCTCATCCAGCTCTCCTAAGGGTACCTCGGCGTCAAGTGAGACGGCGTTGAGGTCAATCGAGATATCGAGGATATCGTTCTCGTCGACTGGTGGCGGTGGAGGGGAAGGTTCGTCCTCCAAGAAGCCTTCCGGCAGCTTGCCATGCGCATTCTGTGCCGCCTTCTGCCGCAACTTCTGCCATTGCTCATACCGGTCAACAGCATGTTGACGCTCTCTGAAACTCAAAGTCAATGATATGTGCTAACGATCGTGCAGCAGTTTAACGCACTCGAGCTTGCGCTGCTTATATTGCTGCATTGCAGCGTCAAAGAGATCAGGATTGATCTCCATGAACAGCTTCAGAGCGTTGTAGACCATGGCGTGGATTGTGCTGGACAGTGATGATAGTGAGATGCGAGCCCTTACGAAGCGAACGATTTTAGTTACCGGTTCCAGTGTGACCTTGAGTTTGTGTACAAGGCCGGGAATACAATCGGGAGGATAACATTGAGGTTATCACTCATGAGGTTGACGATATACTCGTTGTTCCAATACAGCAGCGCTCGCTCCGCGACTTGGAAGTGTTGACTGTTGATACACCGCGCAAGTTGTTGGAATAATGAGACCTGGATCTTTTGGAACTCGGCAGGGTCGATAACGTCAAGCACCTCCTCCATCTCGCTCAGGAACATGACTTCCTTTGGCGAGTTGACTTTCGGCCAGAACTTGAGCAGTCCGAGAACGACCTCCTCAGCCAGCGCTGCGTCTTTCTCCAAGAACTGTACAACGCAATATGCGAGTTGTGGGTGGTACATCGACAAGCTCTTCACTTTATGAAGAGGGATCAACACGCGCATGAGGAAGGTCTTGTGCTCCTCCTTCAGGGGCAGAGCGAAACCGTTGATAATGGATCCAAGGATTTCCAGGAGTTCCGCAATTCCATTATGCCGCTCAGTCTCGTAGATGAAGTGGAAGAAAACGTTGTTGATGCTTCTACGGATAGGTGCACGGAGGTTGAGGAACTTGCCATATATCCGATGAAGCGTTGTCTTGAGGAAGTCCCGCTCCCGCGGATCTTCGGAGTCGAACAGCTCGAGGAGGTTGAGAACGAAGTTCTGGTCGATGTATCGCTTGGCGACATTGGTGTTGAAGTCCGGGCTTTCTACAAAACGGAGGAAGAACTCGTACACAATCTTGAGATGCGGCCAAGCAAGCTCAAGAACAGGCTCGTCTTCTTCAGGGTCGTATGCGTCGCCAGTGGGATTGACAGGAGGGGGTATCGAACGGAAGAGGTTTGTTGCAAACTGTCGGACGACGCGGGCGCTACTCAGTGCTACGCTTTCCACGGTCAAGAAACGGAGGGAACTGACCATCTTGACAACCTCTGGGTATATGTTTTCTGTTATCGCACCTCGCTGCGTGGTGATATATTCTAGCAGCTCGTGCAGGGTCTGGGTCTTGATTTGCTTGCCTTTAAGCTCGGAGTTGGTGTCGTTGAAGTCGAACAGCACCGCGCACTGGTGCAGCTTCTTGACGAAGAGTTGTGGTCGCTCGGCAGGTGGCGTTTCTGAGCGAGTACATGCTTTAGCTGCTGCAAGACGTGGTCAAGTCATACCACGTACCCATAAACGGCGCAAGCTTCTCTATCTCGACTTTCTCTGTAATCACAAACCGGCTGCTTCGCTGCTTCCGCGGCGGTTTGCCAACGATAGGAATAGTGTCCTTGGGCCCTGTCCTCAACCGGTTAAGCGTACCCGCCCTAGGGGGGGTGTTGGGACCGCCATCTAACGAAGTTCGCTCGATGGGCTCTACAGATGTGTCTGGGCTGACTACGACTATCGGTGGTGCTGGCGCAGCTCTATCCGGCGCACTGTAACCACGCTGGGGCACGGCCCCAGTATTAACGTTGGATGATGCAGCACGTGTCGAGCTGATCGACCCGTTGGACGATGTCAATGAGTGGTTGCTGCTGTTGTTGGCAAGATGGCTGAGACTGGCTACAGCTGACGACGGCTGCGGCAAGGGCTTCGCAGAATTTGGGGGCGGGGGAGGCGGAGCAGCAGCGGCGGCGGCGGCAGCTTTTGCTTCCTTTGTTTTTGACGAGGACGACTCCTGAGATTTGGAACTTCTGAGCTGTGAGACAGTGTTAGAAGCGCGTTCTGGTGGTCGAACAAGCGGAGAGTATTGACCAGAGTCTTCTTGAGTCCCTTCATGTCGGGTGAGAAGACAAGACGGGATACAGCCTTACGTGCCCAGTGGTGGTATGGATAAGAAGAGCGAGCGCGAGCGCGAGAGTTGTTGCGGCCAGGTTGTTGCGGCCACCAGAAGTCTACCAAGAATCGATGAGGAGCATGTCCAGCCAGTCAGTCACGAAGCGTGACATGTCCGTGACTCGACCGTGACGGATGAGGCAACCGCCGGCAACGTCCGGCAACGCGCGTGATGCGTGACAATGGGCGCCGGAGCATGTCCGCGAACACTGCTGCGCGCTTTTGGGCAACAGCAACCGGCACACAGCGTCCTCGCCTTGCTCTAATTTATCGTTCTCTCCGCCTCTTCCCTACCCCAACCATCGCACTCGTTCCTCACAACATATCTTGTTCCACGGTGGAATGGCTGGTATTTCCCCCTCTCCTCTCCCGCCTTGAACCATGTCCTGACTTCTGCCCTGCGCGTTAGCTATTTATACCGTATACACGTCGCCGACACACCCACCAATACCCAACCACCTGCCAACGTTGATTGTCACACCCCATGGTATGCACTGCTCGTGTGCCTGGTATAACGCGGTCACCTACCTTGTGCACAGGCCAACCTTCCAATATCTTGTATTCGTACCTGCATACCAACTACGTGAGTCCGATGCTCGACGTCAAGCATTTCCCCCCACTCACAAGATGACCCAGAACACCGAGAACTATCTTCTAACACCATCTCCGCAAGGCGATCTGTGTGTCGCAAAGCTCTTCCCGCCACGAGGTAATGCAGGACCAGGCAAAGCGACGGCATCGGACCCTGGCCATTCCTCTTCCAGCTCACGCGTTGTCCGCTGCGAGGCCTCACGCAACCTGAAATGGTCGATAACCAATACAGGCGTCCTGTCCCCGATCTATAAGCTTTCCTTGCCCTCTGCAGACTCCGCAGATCTTCCGCTCTTCCAGATCTCGAAACCTAATCCTAACGCTGCATTCTGGAGCATGTTCTATTTTGCATATGCTGGACATAACATACCTCCCAAGCGTATCGAATTTGGCAAAATCCAAAAGAATCCTCCAGGACCAAATGGTGGTGGAACTCGAATCAGCATCACTGGCAAGACTCCCGAGGAGAAGGCGGTCTGGCAGACGCTTGGTGAAGGCAACGAAGACTGTGTCGAATGGGTGGTACTTTGTGCCGCTTTGAACTTGCTCGAGTAAGTGATATGTGTTCAAGCGTCTTAATCAATGCTAACACTATCCCATCTCAGCGACGAGATTATCAAAGCAGCGGACAAGAACCCTCCCACCCCAGGAGCTTCAGGCTCTCAGGTTCCTCCAGGTGTACCAAACGGCCGTACACCTATCTCGCTTCGCGATCCTGGTGCTGCGCCACCGCCAGGACCGCAGCAGCCTATGCGCGCAGGTTCGGTGCCACCTGTTGGCCGTGGGGGTCCGATGTCACCACCTCAAGGGATGCCGCCACAGGGGATGTCGATTTCCCCGCCCGGCGGGCGCGGCGGTCCTATGCCCCTGCAGGGCATACCACCCCAAGGATACCCCAATGGTGGGCCCCGTCCCGCTCCAGGATACGGCGCCCCACTGCCTCAAGGATACCCAGTGCCTGGCCCAGGCCAAGGCTATCCTGGTCCCCGTCCTGGCCCTGGAGGACCGCCACCCCCGCACGGCGGCTACCCGGGACCTGGTCGCGGCGGCCCCCCGCCTCAGCCCGGCAACCGATTCTAAGTATCTGCCTCGCTTCCCTTACCTGGTCCCATCTCTTTTACTCTCGGGTTTTCTGATCACTTGCACCTCTTTCTGGGACATTAATATTCACAGATTCACAAGTTCTTGCTTTCCAGCTGGGATGGCGTTTCTTGGTATCGGTATCCTTGTAATCTTCAAACATTCTGGCGGACTTCTGATCCTTTTGTTGTCTTGACACCCACGTATTGCCATGGCGTCCTAGCATGACCGGTCATTCGCTTCCCATTTCATTCGCCACCCGTCTCAAAGCGCAACTGCTTTGTGCCAACGTTATATAAGTCGTTTGTTTCGGGTTGTACCTCGGTACATCGACAGCTTCAAGTCCTATGTATACTTTGAATAAAACATCTGAAACCCCCGATTTCATTGGTACTGTTTGCACCAACACGAGTCCGGTAGCTTGATAAATGACGACTACTGCTTGATCTGCTTCTCAATAGCGTCCATAGAAAGCGCTGCGATGAGGTGAGCGAATGATGCCAATACAAAGGCTGAAAGTACCCACATTTCGGACGTTCAATTGGGAGGCCGAGAGCTCTCGCCCAGACGATCTGCGTGAGAGCACCGAGAGCTAAAACAATACGTCAGCATGTTACTGAAGTCGTGTGACTTGTGCTGCTGACCTCTTGAAACACCGAAGATGACCGTATAGTACTAGGCGACACAGGTTAGCGGTGGCTGTTGCCGAGAGGACCAGTGAACAGTACCTTAAACTGGGTGATGCCGTAGTGGTACAAGACGCAGCCTGCAGGAACGCCTCGAGTAAGCGTCCCGGGCGTTCAATGAGCGACACGTTGACTTACCAGATGCAGCGTCGACATTCGGATGTGGGTTCTTCGACTAGAGGGACGAATGATTGTCAGTGTATACCTCGGGTTTTCAAGAAAGACAGCTTGCCTTGCCGTGTTCCCTGAGCACAGTCGGCGCAACCTCTGAGGTCTAAAAACACTGTCAGCTCGCGTATTGACCATCAATAACACCCACACGCCACCTTCTTGACCATCTGAATGACTGGGTCAGCGAGCAATTCCGGACGGGTCTCGCAGAATTGCAACAGAGCTGTGAAGCGCGGATCCGGATTGCGCAAGACACCGTGGCCGTATCTGCGCCACAATCACGGTCAGTGTCACAAAGCAGACAAACGGTGACTGTATCCGCACCCCGGGACAACTTGTCCGCCCTTCAGGGTCTTCCACAGGAACTCCTTGATATGATCATGCGTGAGGTTATCGCCGAGTTCCTTGCGCATGTTGAGCTGCCAGCGCAGCACTTCCTGGTTTGCCAAACTGGGTATTTCTTAGTACGAGCCGGTAGAATATTCAATCTTGGCTCACGCACCCGTGGAGAGGCCCAGCAAGGGCATACAACGCGCCTGCATAGGCGATGAAAGGATCCGCCAGAGTCGAGCCGATCAAATCTATATCATACTGAGCCGTCTGATTTCATGACTCGTCGAAAAAAGACTTACGAGCGGTGTGCGCGGATGCATTACCACCCTCGTGATCACCATGGAGAGCGATATAGAGACGGAGGTATTCAGTAAGGTTATGGTTATCACCAAAGCCTAGCATATTGGCGTAGTTGCCTGGTGGAGGGAAATAGCTCAGCATTGCACGCAACCGAGCAGCTAAAAGGTACGCGGGGTGCTTACCGACAAGATCCAAATCTTTGTCAACGCCAGCAATGGGGGTACCAGGCTTGTACGCATTCCGGTAGATACGAGCGGCAATGGCGGGAAGTTTCGCGATGAGGTTGATGGAGTCTTCCAGAGCATATGTCCAGTATTCAGTCTTCTTAATCCCCCGCTCGTAAGCTGATGCAAACGCGCTATCGTGGTTCAATGCAGCGACACCCATGCCCAACTGCGTCATAGGATGCAAGCTCGCAGGAAGCCTAGCAGATATTCAGCACATGTGATTCAAATGATGCACAGTCACGTACTCATCGAGCAATTTCTCAACATGCTTTGGAAGCTGTCCTCTCTCCGCGAGTTCCTTGGACAGCTGACGCGTCTCGGCTTCGGTGGGCACTTTGCCTGTCAGAAGCAACCAGAGCATACTTTCGGCGATAATCTCCTTTCCGCCCGGAGCCGGAGGGAGGGCCTTCTGGCAGTCTGGAATGCTCAACCCGTGGAAGCGAATACCCTATAGGTGCGGAGTTAACTCAAAGTATGCCCACGCGTAAGTCCACCACAGTCACCTCGTTCGGATCCAGAACAGACGCATCCCACAGCATGGCCTTTAGACCGCGCATGCCTCCAAGGAGGTGCTCAACCTGCGTCTCGCGTTAACACCGTAGTTTAGCAACTACACGCGTCCAATGAGTACCTTGACATCGCCCAGGACAGCTTGCCCGTGTTCAGCTTTCTACGCGTTGTACGTGATGTAAGCTTCATTCACGAGCCCAAGACCGTCAGGACATACCAGAGCTTGTAGCTGAGCCCTCTTGGCAGGGACGACCTCCTCGAGTACCTCCCTGATCGTCTGTGAACGTTAACGCGGTTGCGCTATGCGTGATACGGGGTAAAGAGGCTACCTTGGTGGACGCAAGACGTCTCTGTCCCGCAGAAGCGAGATTTCTCGCGAATGCGCTGGCGACTACGCTGCTGCGTCTGAGCATAGTGGAGACAGTGAACTTGAAGACGACACGGAGAGTTCAGGGAGGGCTGCATTTCGCCAGCTGGATTATATACAGCGCTACGCGTGACTTAGGCCAGTTCACAGATCGGGGTCCGGGCTGATGTCGGCCGAGACCCGTGACGGTCGGCGTGTGACCGATGATGAGATTTCTACATTTGGTGCAGTCATGATGCCTGCCACGCGACGCGTCTGTGCCAGCTCACGCTTGCAGTTTTGACCAGTCATCGACCTCAACGACGTCAAAAGCCCCGCGAGCCTCCGCGACGATGGCCTCCCTCATCGTCCCTCTCCTCTATGTATTTATTGTCTTTGGAGGCTTGTGGGTCTTCAGCACACTCTACAAGCGGCGTGCTGCCAGTACGTCCAGGTTTACAGCCGAATACGTGTTTGGTGCTGAAATCGTGTGCCACAGGGAAAGTAATCGAACCGTATTTTCCCCGCCATCGCGAACGCGACGTCTATGTATCCTTGTTACAAAGGATAGACCCTCCTACGCCTGACCAGCTACTGAAAGCTGCGCTAGTCCGTCGCGCCGTGACAAATGTCAGTCGGATCATGCGCCTACGTGATGACAAGCCCGCCCTTCAGAACTTGCTTCAAAAAGGCTCAATAGGTGACGAACTGTGGAACAGCCTTCTTGCCGCGGAGAAAGAACTTGAGGCTGAAGTCCTCGAGACGGCGGCGGAGGCGAACACCTTCGTTGAGGGCTGGGGGCAAATCATCTACCAGACAGCAACTGAAGTACTTCATAATGAGAAGATGAAGGTTATCTTTGACTCGATCGAGTCTATGAAAGCCGAGAAAGGTGAACCTTCTGTCCCGGCTATCTACTCAGCGATCTAATGCATTATCCGGTTCTCAGAGCAAAAGTACGGTGTCAAGGCCAAACTCAACCTAGTCCAAGTGCCGAATCCGAATCCTGGCTCCGCGCCACGGTCACCCATGCCGGCACCCGCATCCCCTGCGCTGACTGTTAGAAGCACGCCGTCAACGCCTGTCCCGATAGCTGACGAGCTCCCTTCCTCGTCTAGCGCAGGTGCCGGCAGCGTAGTTTCGAGCGACGGGGAAGGTGACGGTCCGGCTTCATCCAGTACCCCTCGTACGCCAAAGGTATGTTCATAGACCGTGTTTTGATACTGATACCAACACTTATTCTTCGTTCAGTCTGCGAAGAAGGTAAAGAAGCGCAAGTAGGGTATAGCAGTATCCTTTCTCGCGTCACCTTGTACTGCGGCTTCCGAATCGACTGCATTTCACTACACATATTTCGAAATCATACGTTAAGACGTAAAGATTATGGCGACAAGATGATTAGCGGTCATTCTAACCATCGCCGGCTCCTTCTCCCGCCTGAGAGTCCTCCGCAACGATTCGTTTGACTGCGTCAAATATTTCGTGGATCGCGATGAAACGAAAGCTCTTCGATCCGAAAGACTCTGGCCTGAGTGTTGGTAATCTATATGCTGCCCAGGCTCGCTTTAAGACCTCGTGCGGATTGTTGTCGTCTCCGTTGAGCCGCGTGGCAATGTGCTCTGTGAGTAGGGATATCTGCTCTCGCATTTGGGACATGCGCTCCTTGCGCAAGGCGGGTTGGCTCGTGTGGGCGACAATGGTACCAGCAACAATCTCCTCCTCCGTGAGCATCGCTGAGCGTCTTTGGTAGAGATTGCACGATAAGCATATCGACCGCAAGCGCGGTACGTACTCCGAGAATAACTCCCATACTTGCTTGATGCGTTGCTGGTGGCGTAATGGAGCGGCTTGAATATATGGATAAACAAAGTCGTGAACCTTCGCGTCGATCGCGTTCATTGAAGCGCGACTGTCATCGCGGAAGAAGGCGGTGACTTTGCCCAGTTCCAACCGTTCTTCGTATGTTTGCTTGGGCTGTTGCGGGTGAGGGGGCACGGGAAGACGGACTTCACGGAAAAGGCGGCCGAGGTAGCGGGTGCTCTGGTAGAACCGCCTAGAGCCCTCCGTCTCAGGTGCACTCCAATCGGGCCTTCCTCGCCGCATATCAGTTCCCGGAAGATATTCGAGTGGCACCGGCAGACCAGTCTTGGGATAGTCCGTAGCCAGACTATGCAGGTACGCGAGGCGAAGGCAGCCAGGGTCGAAGATACCTCTTTTGTCCGCGAGCTCGAGCCACCGCGAGGCAATGATGCCAATGTTCTGTTGTCAGTCATAAAGAAGTTAGTACGCACAGTGTCTCGTGAGTTATATCGCACTCACGTCGCTACAAATAAATTCGGTCACAAAATCCGCCATATCCTGCTGCGTACTCTGATGTGGAACCTCCTTCCTCGCCGCGGCATCATAGCTAGCTGGAGCGCGAGTCTGCTTTGGGAGTAACTCTTCCTTTGTTGTACACACGTAGACATCGCCTGCCGATGCGTCAGCTCGCTGTCACGGTCAACTAATCCGCAACATACCGTCAAGATCTCCATTACCCAAGCATGATGCAGGCGGGCGCTTTCCTACCAAGTACGGTTGAATATCACTGACACCATGAGAGTGGAAGACTTACCTATGGTAGCAAAGACTAATGCGTTCATGATAGGATGTTTGTCGAATTCGCTGCCTTTCGGAGGCCGTCCGATGGCGCGCACAATCTGCACATCTCCAGGGTGGACGGTGGGAGAGCGAGATATCATCATCTCTCCTTCGAGGAAGATGGGCTCTGCGTTGGTCGAAGTTGTGACACAGGCAAAAACCTCTCCCTCGCCGAGGTAGCCGTACGGATCCGCCACCCCCACGAGGGTGTAACCACCGGGCACGGGGATGCGAGCATGGTACTTGAGATCTCGAAGGATGTGGTAGATCGCGACGTTCAGCACGCGGTGGAAGAAGGGGTCCGGCATGCTGTCCAACTCGAGCCTTGCTAGGTTCGCGAATACCGAAGACACCTTGAACCCCGTACCCAAGCCGTGCGGTTCAAGCAGCCTGGCTGCCGTCGATAGCGAGTTTGCGGCGTCTTTAGTCTCTTGAATGACCGCGTCCTGCAGCTTCTTTAGGATCTCGTACCCGCCTCGGATTCGAAGGCCCTCGAGAAGCATGATCAGGGGTCGGTTCAAGCGAAAGGGACCCGCCCTGGTGAATGCGGCCGCGACCTCCACCATCCTGGACCCTGTCGCCTCAAACTTGATCATCGATGGCCTTATGACGAGGACTCGCCCCGGTAAGCGGCGGCTCACTGTCGACGTACCCTTGCTGCCTTGGAAGCGATGTTGAATGACATCTGGCATCATGTGGGCCCGCCGGTATCGGCGACTTTTCTTTCGCAGCTCCTCCCACACGGCTGTCATCAGCTCCTCCGAGATCAAACCTGCGCCGTCCGTGAAAGATCGCTTCCCATTGGCGTCCTCGATATCCGGCTCTACGACGATTTCTTCGGCTTCCACTTCTACAGCAGCATCCGTGGTCGTGAATGCTAAGGCTCGACGGGCGCCGAGACGCGCAGGGCAGTACATGAGCCGAGGGTCGTACGGCGTGTCGTGGAAGGTGCCCAGGTCAGCAATGATGGAGTCAACGGTGACGGTATCGTGAGACATCTGAAACTCCTTGACGAACCAGACGGCATGCTGTTTGAGCCCGGACTGTGACCATTGCAGGAAGTCGAAATGACGATCGACGAGAACGAATCCCTGCGAGAGGAAACGCCCGAACCGCTCGCGCACGAACCGACGACTGTCGAGCACGCGGTCCATCCGGTATTGAAAACCTTCCTCGTCCGCAAAGTCCACTCGCAAGAAGTTGGAGGTGTGAGAGGCGTACTTTCGCATGACGCGGTTGTTTCTCTCCGGGAACGGTCCGCTCAAGATAAACCGAGATGGCGTGATCGTGACATGGTAGCAAGGAAATGTCTCTGCGTCGCTGAATGGTAGCATCATGGAAGGGTTGAATGTTTTCTTGCAGCGCAAGTAGAACTTGATGAGGCGATCGACCGCGACGGGACCTGTCGGATTTGTTGCTGTGTACCAGGAAGTGGCCCGTGCTTCTTCCCCGAGATAGCGTATGAAACCGGCAGTGTAGGAGCTGCCAAGTGACGACCGCATCTTCTCCAAGTGAGGTTTAAGTTTCAGCAGTTCCTGGAGGTCCATGACACCAGCTCGAGCTATGGCGTCTACCTGGAATGCTATATCGAAGAGCTCGGCTGCAAGCCAGGCATTGTAGCGTGCACGCACATCAACAGAGAAAATATTCTGTCGAGTGATAAAGTAGACATAGCTGTGAACGGATATATGCGCTGCTTGGCACATGCTACGCAAAGTGTTGTATCTCCCAGCGGATTTACCGCAGAGAACCCGGAGAGAGTATGACGTGTAGGGCGTGTACTCTTCATGCTGGGAATCGAGGGCTGACAGCTGGATGGATCCCCTTCTGGTTATGTCTGGAACGGAGCCGCTCGCCTCGTATGTCGGTGCGGAGGCCAGCGAGAAAAACATGGCCGCTCCTGAGGGATCGATGGAGGCCCAGACGACTTGCGATGCGCGCAAGACAATTGACAAGACTTCTTCTGACTGCACAAGGTGGAGACGGAACTGCCGGTGGTCTTCGTCGAATATGAGATGACTTCTGGCCAGACCAGTCTTCTCAAATTCGATGGAGTAGGTATTATCGCGGCATTCCCACCCGAACTGGATGGTGTGAATGCCTACCGTCGGCCCTTGCTGTACTCGTGCGGCACATGACAATGTCTGTTGCACTTTCTGTGACTGAACTTGCTTGTGAGGGCCTGCAACGGGGAAGGCAGCCGGTTGCACCGTGCATAGTATAGAAGGTGGCTTTAACCTGAATACGAGGCGCGTGCGCGAGAGACCGAGCCTGATGGCTCTGCGGGGCTGCTTGCCACAGTACTCTCTCATGAACAACGAGCCAATCTCGTAAGTGGGTAACAGGAGTGCCCCCGTGCGAGATTGGCAAGCATCAGAGAGTGAAAGTACTGAGAGCTGGAAGCTGGAGAGTAGCGGAAGACAGTGGTCCGGCAGTGCGCAGTGCACGTGGAGAGCAGCTAATATTGCGCTCCTCAGTTGAGAGGGTTGTACTGACGAATCGATGTTGGACACTGCGAGCTCCATCTGCCATGAATTAGAGTTGGCTGACAAGCCATGCAGCGCGAGCACATACCTTCTGGTTCGGTGCAAAGCGAGTAGGCTTGAGAGGAGCTAGAAGGTGGACTATGTTTCGCCTATGGTCACGGGGAGGAGGGCCACCGCGGGGGAAGGAGGTGCAGACCTCGAGCAGACCTCGAAACGAAAGCTGGCCTTATCAGACGAATCGGAATAACGGTTCCTGAAAAGACAACCCTGAGACTCGAATGCTATCCCCGGATAAATGGGAGTCAGCTGAGGAGAAGTTTCCAGCCTTGAGGCTTTCGAGGTCTAAGAGCAAACCCAAATAACCACGTTGGATGCATTCCAGCATGCCAATTGGCCAGATCTTCAGACAAATGGGGCAGTCGCAGGAAGTGGCCGCTGCGGCTTCTGCGGTGGAGGGAGACCGCGGTGCTGCGGCGGGCGAAACGAGTGGTCAGTAGCCGCTGAAGCGCCCGAGCTGCAGGCCTGAGGCCTGAGGGGCCGAGCTGGGGCGCACACTGGTACGTACCAGTGTTACGGACTATGTTAACACTTAGTGTGCGACTTCCCATTTGCTGAATATCAATAGAAAGACGCACGCCACTCCCACAACGCCGAATAAGCAGCGATCAGAATGCTACAATCATGGCCCTGAAGCTTCAAGCTGCTTGAGAGCCTCGAGGAGCTCCCGTATAGCCAGGAGCCCGAAACTCCGAGATCCAAACGCTTCAGCTTGTATCGTGCTAACCCTAAACGCGACCCAGGCCCGTTTCACCACTTCCTTCTTGTCGCCCCGTTCAGAATCTATCATACGCGCCGCCGCGCGGGCGACAAGCTGGCCGGCATGCTCCCGCATCTTCGCCATCCTCTCCTTGCGCATGTGCGGCTGGTTGGTCTGCGCGACAATCGTATCGGTTACCACCTCTTCTTCGCTGAGCATCGCCGCATGGCGCTGAACAAGGCTGAAAGTGGTGCAGAGTGTGCGGAGAGACGTCACGTAGGACCTGAAGCAGTCCCAGATGGGCTCTATACGTTTTCTGCTGTAGCGATATGGCGACGCAACATAAGGCGTGATCCGTACGAGAAGGGCTTCTGCGACTGGATCGTTCGTCGGGAACTTGTTTTTATCGAAGATCTCAATCACTTTGTCGATAGAGGGGAAGCTGTGAGATTTTCGCGAACCTGACTTGCTATTGTCGGGCGCGGTGAGGCTGATTTCCCGATACAAGCAGCCGATCCACCGTCTGCTCTCGTAGTAAACCCTAGAGTCTCCATCCTGAACTTCAGGGGCGCTCCAGTCCGGCCTCGAGTCCAAAGTGCTACGCGGGATCTCTTGCATGCTGACAGACATGCCTGTCTTGGGATAGTCTGTAGCTTTACTGTGCAGTTCCGCGAGCACCTCAAGAGCCTCCCTGTGCTCATGCTCAGACATGGGGTCTAAGACGCCTTGCGGACTCTGATCCATGAGCGAGAGCCAGTTGGTCGAAACGAGCCCTATGGTCTGGAAAGGAAATTTCAGCTGTCTCTACCGGAGATCGAGGGGCGGGACCGCGCACATCGCTGTATAGGTACTCGGTCAGGAAGTCGGCAACATCAAGGCGAGTGCTTGAGCGGTTCAGCGTCTTTCGCTCCGCCTTGCCATACGCAGCAGGTTCATAGACAACTTGCGGAAGAATGGCGGGAAGATCTGAGCAGACATATTCATCGCCTACGAACAGAGTGTATCAGATAGAATGGAGAGAGACGAGGAGGAATTACCATCGAGATCACCACCGCCAAGGCAGGACGGTAGCGGCCGTGCCCCTATAGTGAAAGTCAGAACTAGCTTCTGACGCAGATGGTAAAAGCAGACGAACCCTTGGTGGAAAACACGACGGAGTTATGAAGAGGCTCGATCTCGAAAGGGGATCCGGGTGGCGGAGGCCCAATGGCCCGAACGACCTGGACATCACCTCGGTGAATGACAGGAGACCGGGAAATCAAGGTTGGGCCATGCAAGTATATCGGCTCCTGGCCTTCATATGGAATGACGCAGGCGAAGATCTCTCCCTCTTCCAGACATCCATGAATATCCGCCACACCGACCAAGTTCCAGCCACTCGGCACGGGAATTCGGGCTCGGTACTTCAGATCGCGTAGGACGTGATGTCTTCCGAAACACAGGACTTGCTGAGAGAACGTATCGTCGAGAGTCGCAATCCCCATATGGTGTAATTCTCGAAACACATTCGATAAGTCGTACGTCCGGCCCAAGTTGAAGTCGTCGAACAGATCTGCGGCAGCGTACAAAGACTGAACGGCTGCCTCCGTTTTTTCTACGACCGATTCCTGCAAGAACTTCAGGAAATCGTAGCCGCCGAGGATATCGAGTTCCTCTAGCAGCATCACTAGGGGTCTGTTAAGGTAGAACTTGCTCGGCTTGACAAATGCATCCGCAATCTCCAGCGTCCTCGAATCGGCTGCATAGAATTTGATCATCGATGGCCTGAGGCAGAGCTTGCGGCCCTGAAGCAGGTGGTCCACGCTGACCATGCCCTTCGCGCCCTGTATACGAATCTGGAAGCGCCGCGGACCTCGCTCGCTGGGCGGTCTGCCACTCGCGGCACAAAGTCGCGTCCAAATCTCCGCAGCCAAGTTGGGGGAGATCGTACCAACTCCGTCGGTGAATGACCGCTCTCCATCCGCGTCCACAATGTCCTCGACGACCTCGATGTCGTCCAGGTCAATAGTGACAGAGGCGCTAGTGGAAGAGAAGCATTGTGCTTGGCGAGCACCATACCGAGCGGGACACATGATGAGTTCAGGGTCATACAGTATGCCGTCGAAAACCCCGAGACCGGCGATGATCGTGTCCGCAGTGACAGTTTCCTCGCACGAAGTACCGTCCGAGGTCACCGCAGGCTGCTTAAAGCTCCGAACAAACCAAGCTGTGTGCTCCTTCAAGGACGCCTGTGTATAGCCCAAAAAATGGAAGTGACGACCTGCAATGACTAGCCCGCGGCGGAGGACGTTGCCGAACCGGTTGTGGATGAATGCACGGCAATCTACTTCGCGCTCAGAACGAAACTGAAGACGCGCCTCGTCCGCAAAACGGACGCGAAGGAAGCAGGACGTGTTCCGCGCGTACTTTCGGATGACGCGGTTGCACTGTTCGAGGAACGGGCCCTCAAGGCGTACGGTAGACGGGGTGACTATGGCGTGAAAGCATTCAAACTCCGGGCGGGTGCCGTTCGCGATGTCGTCTGGGGAAGGGGTGTCTCGCGGTGGGGTAAACTCCTTCCGGCAGCGGATGAACAGTTCCTTCAACGCATCCTTCGGGTTCGCAGCACCACGATACCAGGACGGGTCCCGTGCCTCGCGAGCGAGATGCCTTACGAATGAGGCCAGGTATTTAGCGTCCTTGTCCGCGGCCATCCTGCAGAGCTGCGAGCGTAGAGATAGGATCTCCTGAAGATCCATGATGTTGTTCCTCGCGAGAGTATCAACCTGAAAGGCAAGTTCCCATTTCAGGGAGGCTAGCCAATCGCGGTAATCGTTTTGGAGGTTAGGTGCAAAGAGGTTGCGTTTTGGCTGAGCAACGGGATAGATATGCTTGTTACGTTTGACACGCGCGTGCTTGCAAAGCCAAAGAAGGCTGTCAAGCGCATTTTCCTCGTCGCAGACGAAGCGAAGGGCGAGGGAGGTGTAGATGGAGTAGATGGCATGCTCGGGGTCGAGAGCGGTCAAGCACTGACGAGGTGGCTTGCGCGGTCTAGTACGCGAGTCGGAAGGTTCAGGTTCGTCGGCCTGCTCGAACTCGTAAGTAGGCGACCAGTGTAAGGCGAGGAAGAGCACAGTCTGGGTGGGTGACTGCCCGTGGACCGCTGCCCAGGCTATCTGCATGGCGCGAATGACGATGATGACGCTACTGTTTGTCTCTGCATCTGTTACCCGTACGCGAAATTCTCTGCGTGCTCCATCGAATGTCAATTTGCTTGAGCCCTCGCACGACTTTTCGTATTCCACGGAATAAACGCTGTCGCGACATTCCCAGCCAAACTGGACTGCACAGACAGAGACAGAGCGTGTGCGCAAGTCTGCTTCGAGCTGCTTATGCTCTTCCTCGTCCTTAGGATCAACGTATGGCGTCGTGGTTATCTTCTTCAAGATGGCAGGCCGAGGCTCCTTGTTGCTCTTCCTGAATTCAAGGTCGTACCAGCCGACTGAAATAGTCATATCTGCCGGTGAGCCTCCATAGCTCTGCAGGAACTGTTCACCGATGTCATGACTGGGGAGTGTGAGCACTCCTGTACGGCACAGTTCCTCACTCTTCGCCGGGTAAAAGAAGACCTCGAAATTTATGGGAGGGGACCCGTCCTGCTGGAAGTCGGGTACGTGTAGAACGTCCGCAATTGCGTGCTTCACATCGTGAACACTTGCACTGGGACAGATGCTCAAGATTTGGACTTCCATGTACCTATAGCCTACCGCGCGCTATTGCTAAGTACACAGCAGGACAAAGATCACGAATCGCGTACCACTCGCTGACGGCGACTCGGAGGCTAAGTGCTGAAGTTGCGTGTAGCTAGCAGAGCCTGCCGCAACGCACGTCGCATCCCCGAGCTGGACGTGCCACACGCCGGGCTTATCACAGAAATCACTGACAGCAGGAAGCCCGACTTGTATTGGTGTGTACGTCTGGAAGTTGCATTCCCATGATCAGCGTCGAATTCAAAGGGGGACGCTCCTCGTCATGCGAAAAGCTGCTCAAAAGGGTCTTTGAACGACGGCAAATCCAGGAGAGGCCGAAGCCACCCAAAGAGACGGACGGCGAGCGGTGGGACCAGGCGAGAGTTGGCAAACTGAAGACGTGCGCGCGGGCTATTGGTGCCGTTCCCAATGGGCATCAGCGGGGGAGTGAGAGATGTCACTAATGCCGTGTAGTCTATTTTTGGACCCTGCGAGGAGCAGCTGTGCACTGCAAGGGGAAGACTGAGAGAACAGCACAGGCATAGCGGACAGATTTGCACTACAAAGACGAGGGTTTGCTTGTGGTTAGCAGACTGAAAGAGGTCTGGAAAGAAGTGCGAGGACAGTGGTCGTCAAAGGTCAAGTGGTCAAAGCTTTCAGCGGCAGATTCAGGTCTCCACGGCTGCGGGCGAGATTTGCGTGCCAACGCTCCTTCTCCCAAACGCTCACTGCCACGCCCTGAGAGCCTCCGACATCCTCATACGAGGACCCCCGCTGGCAAGATGATGACGCCAATGCGATATGTCCTACTAGTGCTAGGCATCATTGTGCGTGCTACGTCCCACGGCCGCGACTGGGCGTCATGACTTTGTACACCTACAGATCAGTCTGCACTTCATCCTCAGCTTCTCGCACGAGGACTATGGTCGTGCAACGTCAATATCTCGTATTTCTAATCAAATCAAGGGCTCGACGGGTCGTCCACCGTACATGGATGGCGTGCCGGAAGAGTACCGCCATCCCGCTGATGTCGCTCTCCCTCCCTCGGCACGACGTGCGAACGCTACCTTCGTTCTGCTGGCTCGTAACGGTGACCTGAACGGTGTCATGATGAGCATGAAGCAAATGGGTGTGCCATCCCAATTCTCTGTACATAAATCCTGTAACTGAAGCCTTCATAGAGGACCGCTTCAACAAAAAGTTTCAGTACCCTTACGTCTTCCTGAACGAGGAACCATTTTCGGACGAGTTCAAGGAGTACGTGCATACAGTGCCTCTCGCAGAACTCGACTCAGACATGCTGCTAGGCGTATCCTCGAGCTCACAGATGCCCCCGTCCAATTCGGACTGATCCCTCGGGACCACTGGTACCAGCCGGACTCGATCGACGAAGCGAAAGCGACTGCTGCACGTGAGCAGATGGTCAAGAACCAGGTTATCTATGGAGGTAAGCATGCCTTCTTATCAGCAATATACGTTCTGTTAAAGTGGACTGTCAGGCAGTGTACCGTAAGCTACAGGCGCACCTGCGAAGCGAATTGCGAAACTGACTAACCTACAGGTACCGCAATATGTGTCGCTACAACTCAGGTGTAAGTGTGTCTTTAGCATCTATGTTCTTGCTTCTCACTTTGCTCTCCAGTTCTTCTTCCGTCACGAACTCCTCCAGAACTACAAATACTACTGGCGTATTGAGTGAGCAGCATCCACCTTCACATACCCTTATCCTGAACGCCCCACAGGCCGGATGTCACTTACTTCTGCGATCTGGACTATGATGTAAGTGGTTAGCCAGTTGAGCCTTATAACACAAAGCTAATCAGCGTCGACGAAGCCCTTCTTGATCATGCAGGACCAGAACAAAGTTTACGGTATGTACTCACCAGTCATCAACCTCAAAGCATGTCGTTAATGTTGATGCCCAGGCTTTACTATCTCTCTTTACGAATACGAGGCAACTATTCCGACCTTGTGGGACGCAGTGAAGGGTAAGTGCCATTTCTCACTCTTACTGTGTCTCAAAGCTCACCTTGCCATTACCCAGATTTCATTAGTGAGAACCCTGACCTCATCGAGGAGGGCAATGCTATGGGCTTCGTCTCGGACAACGGCGGCGAGACTTACAACCGCTGCCACTGTGCGTATTTTCAGATATACGTAGTCTCGGCCTCCAGCTTACATGTCTGCCCTAGTCTGGAGTAATTTCGAACTCGGCGACCTCGACTTCTGGCGAGGCGAGGCGTACATGAAGTTTTTCGAGCACCTAGACTCAAAGGGTGGCTTCTACTATGAGGCAAGTTCCTATGTCACCCCCATGCCCTGATATCTTACAAATGTTTACAGCGATGGGGTGACGCACCAGTACACAGTATTGGTGCCGCCTTGCTCGCCAAGAAGGAGCAAATTCATTTCTTCAACGATATCGGTACGCGTCTCACCAAGACAATTAGTATCGATGCTGATTACATCCTCAGGCTATCGCCACAACCCCTTCCAGCATTGCCCACAAGGCGATCTCCACAAGAAGGGCAAATGCTGGTGCAACCCTAAGGACAACTTCGACTACGAGTGGTACTCGTGCCTTGCACGCTACGACAAGCTGTTCTAAACGTCGGCGCTTCGAGCGCGCCACAGCGTGTAACACATCTGTTTTTCTGCTCAATATTTAAGTTCTCCCTGTGTTGATTGCCGGAATGGATCATATAGCAATTTCCTCGTATGTGTGAATTTCTTCCATCTCGTAGACTTTCGTCACAGTACTGTTCTTGTTATCAATCGTAATGATATCATAAAATAGACTGTGAATAATATTGATACTGGAGGATTTGCGTGAGCTTTGCCGACGGACAACGCGCGGTATTTCTAGGACACTCACTGAATCGTACAGCCTAGTCCAGTTAGACCCAACAGAGGTATCAATCAAACGCTGGACATGCTCCTCGACTGCCGACTGTGTGAGGCCCTGTTGGAAGCGGTCCCGCAGCTGCTGTGCTGTTTGCTCGCCGAGTGCAGCGAAGCACGGAAGCGTCGAGTCTAGAGAACCAGTTCAGCATACGTAACAGCACAAAGCCCCGCGCTCTGTGCTCACCCTTCTGCATGAGTTCGACCAAAGCTAAATAATAATAAAAGTCACATTGGCATACTGCAATTCTACGGCTAACAATAAACTACTCACTGACGATCCGATCGCAGTGCTTCCTCGCAGCTTCGAATCCCTCCTTGAACAATCGCTTGAATTCTTTGTAAGCCTCACCATCAATACCGCCAAGGACCTCTATGTACTCCAGCGGCAGCTTGAACGGCGCAGCTTCAAAGCCAATATTCCCCGGTGAGTTCGACAACATGAAGCCGAAGTCGATGTGGATGAGGTGACCGCCCCGATCAACGAGGATATTTCCGTTATGCCGGTCTTTGATTTGGAGGAGATACGTGACGACCGAGTAGCCTGGAAAATGGTCAGCAAATGCAGGAGCCATTGTAGAGGTATGGCCTGACCCGCTAGTGACTTAGCAAAATTCCGCTGCGCTCGGACAAATTTTGCGGACACTGGGTCACCGTAGGCCTTTCGGATGTCAGCGAAGCGTCAGAACCCCAACTTCCAAAAAATCTCACGCTCTTGAAGTGGTCGAACAACGTTACGTGGCCTAACCGACCGCTTGCCAGTCGGCGAGCGTACTCTGCCTTTTTGATAGAGTGGATGGAGACAGCGTCCGTAATGGTCTCAATCAATCCGGAGTTGTTGCCTGTGATTAAGATCCTAAAGCTGTCATCTTATAAGCATGGATCATTTGCAAAGACAGGAGGCGACGTACTATCGCACCCAGCAGGCGCAATTCTCGTCCTTCCAGATGTTTTCAAACTCCTGAATTAGTTGCACTGCAAGCTGTTCCTGTCGTAGGTCACCGCCTGTTTTGACAATGACTGACACACAGTCCCAACTCGCTGGAAAACCTCTTCAGTATAAGCATCCCGTAGATAGATAGCGGATGTACTACCTAAATGACCATATGGAGAGGCGTGTCGTATTCGACTCTGAAATGAAGCACATCAGCACCGTTTTATCAATGCGCTGAACTCAGCACAAACCTTCTTCGCTGCCCAAGACTCTCCGACAACAACTGCAGACGGGTCAGCCTTGCTAAGCTCGCGCCGAATGATACCCTCGTCTTCCGCCGTCTTCATGCTTCCACCGACATCACCGATCCTAAGCGTGCCCTCTCCCACACGATTCTCGCGCATACGCTCCATCCGCTCCTCTTCAAGAGCCAGCATTTCGTTCATGATGCGATTTCGAATGGCGGCAGCCTCGGCAGGCTGGAGTTTCATGCGCATCGATGCATTGGAAGGATGCACAGGGATACTGGACTCGCCGGGGTTCTGGCTGTCGGATGGAGGCGGGGTGACTGTGAGCCAGTTCGAGCCGGGGAGCCAACGTAGTGGAGATGCGGACTCTGGCATAGGAGTCCCGGGTATAGACACGGGCTCTCGCACTAGATTTGCATTCAGCTGGGCAAGCATGACTGCCGCGGTCCTCATGCGTTCCGAATACTCGTCTAAAGACAAGACACGTGCCGTCTCCGATGGGAATGAGTCCGCGTCTCCAGATGAGCTTCTCTGTACAGTCGAGGAAGACACTGTTTGCGAAGGCACGGCTCTTCGTGGCGCTGCGCCTACAAGAAGCGGTATCGCTGGCATAGATGACCACGTCAAGTTGTCGAGTTCCTTGTTCTTTGGCGCAGGCGGAAGTACTATCGATTCCGACAGGTCTATCGAGCGAGCGCGCAGAGAGTTATTGGACCCGTACAGCTGCTCGACTAAATCGATCTCCTCTTCATCTTCAGGAGCATCTGACGGGCTAATCGGCGAAAGGACACTGGGAACATCCGCCGAGCCGCCCTCTGTGAGGTTCGTGGTGTCAACTTCAATGTCTTCGTCTGTCCTCTCGGAATCCAAACTGCGGACAGGGCCTTGGGAGATCACAGGACCTGCCCCATTGAATGTGATGAGATCTCGCGAGGCACCCTTCCGCTCATTCTCCTTGACTACGATCTTCTTGAGGACCTCCTTGTTGTTCCGCTTGAATGGATCGAAATCGAGATCACCATGGAGTATCTCGATCAAGAGCAAGTACGGCGCTCGCTCTGCAGAGTTGAGAACGACACTCTCGCCAGGGGGTATGCGCACTATTCGGTGATGTGGCTCCGCTATTCCAGCTGTTGTGTCGGGCTTGTCAGAAGAAGAGCACCACATAGGCATGCACACCTGTGTCGTCATAGCTCGTTTAGCCGGGTTCACGATACACAACATGAAAAACATTCACCTCAGCGGGCAGCATGTGGTTTAAACCAGTGAGCTCAGCTCTGAGAGCACTGACGCGGGCAGGCTTCGGTACAACAAGTAGCCGATTGCAGATATTTTCGAGGGCCAGCAAAAATTGAATCTATAGCTCAGTGTGAGCATGTTTAGTTAGAAGAGTAAGGGCTACTACCTCTGAGCGACAGAAATGTGTCCGTAAAAGGAACTTCTGTGCCTCTGGATCGTATTTTCGTAGCAGTATGTCGGCCGAAGTTATGCTGTTTCCGTTGCGTCGCAGATGTCTAGACTGAGAGAAAGTTGGGGTGGATTGGAACGGGGAGGGAGAAGGGACGATGACAGATGGAGGCGGATCATTTTGACCAAACGGATCTTCAGAAAGCCTTGACTTCCTAGGATCCCTAATATGTAGAGGCAAAGCAGGGCTAGTCTGCACAGCGATGGTCTGCCTTCGCACGGCCATACCGCCCCTATGGGACTGTCCACCGAGCCGCGCGGCGCTAACGGGTGCTTGCCCTCCGCGAGGCTCCTCAAGAGCTTGTTTCACTCTCCTACTCTCGTCCTCGGGGTCCGTGAGATCATCTTCGTCTTTCTCGTCCTGCGAAGTTGTCGAACGGTCGGACTTCGTCCGGACAATACCATCTGGGTTGTCCAAACTTCGGAGATCCTCGCCTTGATCGTCCAAGCGACCTTGCTCGATCGCTACCTCGCCCATAATGCCAGTAAGTGCGGGCATTGCCGGTGCAGCGACCAGAATCAAGCCCATGCCGACTAGCGCGGGCTCGATATGTGGTTTCACTTTCTTGCGAAGGAAGCCAGGAAGTGTCGGTAGATCGAGCGATGAATACGGAGTTCCGGACGCAGGTAGGTCTCCGTAAATTGTTTCGTGACATTGGTTCAGGACGCGCTGGCATATGTGGAAGGACTCTGAATCATAACGCGACACTGCGAGATCTTTGAGATGGGCATGCATGAACCATAGCGTCTGCCACTATAAGGTGAACAGATATAAATGTAGATATCCGTAGAACGCACCAACATGGCTATATGTGTGGACTTCTGAGATATTTCTACCACGAAGCATTCTAGTGCTCTCGACTTGGAAGGTCTAGTGACCAGTAAATGACTAACTTGCGTGAATTGAAGATCCACAGAATGATCTGACCCTGTGTGTCTCACCATATAAAACCCCACACTTCACGCAGTTCACTTGTGTCTAGTTCCCTCAACCTCCGCGTGAGGTAGTACGTGATTCCAATGTTGTCCGCATAAATCCTAAGATATTGGAGTGCAACATGGACGGAAAAAAAGGAAGGCGAGAGAAAAAGGCGTAATAGCAAGGCATGAGACATGTCACTTCGTCGAGGGGTATCTCATCCAGTAGACGGTTGCGCGGGGGACTATGCCCACGCCGTGAGGGTTCAAAGCGGGAGCAGCGTGAAAGCCGGTCACGGTCCCAGACGCCCGCCCCGAACGCATTGCCAAGCGCCCATAAACCGACCGAGGGCGACACGTCGATCTGGCGTCTACTGTCCGCTTACCCGCAGCCGCGATGTTGCTGCTGCCCCTCCTTACACTCCTGGCCCTGCCCTTCTGTCAGGCCCTCATCTCCAAAGACCAGGCTCGAGAAGAGCTCACTAAGCTTGCCGCTGCGAATAATGGCGTCGTCAATGTCGACGAGCACACCTTTGAGCTGCTCACCCTGCCTGACCGCGAATGGTCCTCAACCATAGTATTCACTGCCATGGATCCCAGGAGGAAGTGTGGTCCTTGCAAGTACGTTTCCATCTGTACACCAGTATTGCACGTGTCTGACAATGGATATAGAGGATTCCAGCCTGCATATGACTCCGTTGCGAAGGCTTGGACAAAGGTAGCCCAGGAGCACAGAAATCAGCACTTCTTCGGTTATGCGAACTTCGAAGACGCCATGACGGTCTTCCAAAAGGTATGGCACAGTCGGTATCTGGGCCATACCGTGTGCTAAATCTCGTAGGTTGGTATCCAATCCGCACCCCTCGTGTACTTGTATCCTGCAACCGAAGGCCCCTACAAGGCCCCCAGCGGCAGGACTACCCCGCTCGTCTATGACTTCTCGGGGTAAGTACCAAGCTGATATCGTTAGCCTTTTTATTTTATCTGACGATTATCTTAGTGGGTTCGATGCTGAGCCCCTTGCTCAGTATCTATCTCGCCATACTCCCGTACCGATTCCTTACAAGCCACCCGTCGATTGGATGAAGTACGCAACTATTGGGGCTACCCTTCTCATTGCTGTTACAGCTTTGCGCGTCATCTCTCCGCTCTTGAAGTCTCGATGGGTCTGGGCTATCGGCACCGTCCTGACTATTCTCACCATGACGGGAGGCTTCATGTTTGTCCGCATTCGTGAAATGCCTTATACTGGAAATGACGGCCAGTGGATCGCTGCCGGTTATCAGAATCAGTTTGGCCAGGAGACCCAGGTTGTTGGTTTGCTGTGTACGTGTCCGAACTCTTGGTTACTGCGAGAAGGCATTGATAGTCCTTCAGATGGCCTTCTCAGTGCCTCATTCCTCATGCTCACCATGGTGGCGCCATACCAAACATCTCCGAGACGTCAGCAGTGGCAAGTTTGGCTATGGTCGGCTGTCATCTGCATTATCTTTTCTGTTCTTGTCTCGCTCTTCCGCGTGAAGAATAGAGGTCAGTCCATTAAAGTGCGACTTGGCCCGGCTTGACTAAATTTTTGTCTACTCAGGCTATCCCTTCAAGCTCCTGATCTAGAAGTTGGACAAATCGATAGGAATGCGTTTCAAACCATAATGGACCTGTAGACATCCGTGTTCGTTGACGAACAATCAGATAACTTCAGATAACCTCCCATACCCGAAGACTACTCGAGGGACGATGCAGGGTTGGCTGCAGCTCCATGAGGCATCGTCTGTTCTACCATTTTATAGCTCCCGGTGCTTAGTGTATTATGGCGTATTCTCCTCGCTACTGAAATTAAATCCGGGCCGTCTTTATATACGGCCCGTCCGTCTTCGAGACATCGTGTCCACTGACACCCCCCATGCTCTTGAGGTTATGATGCGCGGCCACATGATGCGCTCCGATGTCTCTTCGCCCTGAAGTCGGAGGCTGTCACGTATACTTCCTCGCTGATGCGAGATATATAATGAGGGACACAACGATGTGAAGGACGGCTGTGCAAAGTTGATCTCACCGCAATCCTCACAATGCTCAGGCTCTTAGGCGCTGCCATAGCCACGCTTTCACTCCTACCGTCGCTCTACGCAACTCCTGCAGACTTGACCGAACGTGCTTCTGGCTCTGTAGATCCCTTGGTACTTAAGTCGTACCACAACCCAGTTATCAGTGGGTTTGCGCCAGATCCATCTTGCATACGTGTGGACAGTCAATATTTCTGCGTCACAAGCTCGTTCAGCGTGTTCCCCGGCATTCCTTTATACACCTCTAGGGACCTGGTGCAATGGCAACAGATAGGTAGATTTTGTGCCTTGATCGCTTCCTCATTGATTTGACACGCTCGTTCTTGTTACAGGAAATGTCTTGTCGAGGCCGGAACAGCTTCCCCAACTTGCACAGGTCAATCAAAGTACAGGCGGAATTTGGGCAGCGACTATTCGGCACCATGACGAAGTATTCTACGTTACGACAACACTTGTGTTCGATGGTGCACCACAACAGTCGCCCACGCGCTGGGACAATGTACGTTTGTTCTACAGCGGTCGTTTAGTGGCGTTGACAGTTGTTCTAGCTGATTTTCAATACTACGAATATCTGGGCGAATGATGGTAATGGCTGGTCTGACCCCGTACACTTCATCTTCCAAGGCTACGACACTTCTCTGTTCTGGGATGACGATGGCGCGGCGTATGTTGAAGGTTCACATGCATGGCAGGTATTCCCAGCAATCGAGCAGTTCAAGATAGACGTGAGGACGGGCGAGAACCTCAGTGAACCAATTATTCTATGGAATGGGACCGGAGGCCTCGTATGTTCCAGTCTTTTTCACCATTCCGGTAAGAAGACCCAAGCGATCGTCTCTACTAGGCACCTGAAGGTCCACATGTTTACAAGAGGGAAGATGCGTATTATTTAATGATAGCCGAAGGTATAATTACACTATCTCGATCTACAAGCCGTTTTGCAGCTTATTTGTGATTAGGTGGAACAGGTCTCGGTCATATGGAGACGTGAGTGCCGCCGTATTGCTCGCACATCTGTTTTCTATCTCATTGGCAATTGGCTTATAGAATGGCGAAGTCGCTGAATATCACTGGCCCTTACACTGGATATGCCCACAATCCAGTTCTGACCAACGCTAACACCTCGGAGTATTGTATGTGGATGCGTTGTCGTGACCTGACCGACCGCCAGCTGATTTAGCCTGTAGTACAGACTGTAGGACATGCTGATCTATTCAACGATACTGCTGGAAACTGGTGGGCAGTTGCCCTAGCTACTAGAAACGCCACGGTGAACTAGTAGGTTAAGTCTGTCTTTGTTCTGTCAGTCTCAGCTGATGTCCTCTCAGTCCCATGGGTCGCGAGACCATTCTTGTACCGGTGGTATGGGAGGAAGGGCAATTCCCTGTGTTCAACGGTGCTATTCCTGGGCGGGCATACATTAATATGACCGGCCCACTTCCCCCCTCTCATCCGGTAGGCGTGAGCTAGATTTGATGCACGACCTCGATTAGTCTGACGCGCATTCGTCGACAGCCCACTCTTACTGACTCGAAAGATCCTCTTGTGGGCCACTCACAGCATGTCGTCTTCCCAAGCGGTCCAGATGTCTCTCTCTCCGACCTTCCACGGCAGCTCGTCTACTACCGCTACCCAGACTTCTCTCGTTTCACCGTTTCACCGCCTGGTCACCCTAACACCCTGCAGATAATGGGTTCCGCGGAAAATATTACAGGTAACGGTGGCATTGGTACAAGTACCTTTATTACTCGACGACAGGATGCGGTGGAGTTTACTGCGGAAGTGACGCTGGAATTCGCTCCGAATTTGTCGGACTCCGTGACAGAAGATGAAGAAGCGGGAATGACGCTCTTCCTTCAGCGGGCGCAACATTTTGATTTGGGTGTCGTCGTTCTCCGAAACTCTGCTAGTGGCCAGCTGGAAAAGTTCATACGCCTGCGGACCTTCAGCGCGGTCTCGAGTGTTGACGGGATGACCGATCCCTTCTCGCAACCGGGGATACTGCCGCTTTCTGAAAACATGCAGAAGCTTCGCCTCCGCGTTCAGGCAGTGAATGCGTCTGCATATGCGTTTTCATATCTCGACTCGCCAAACTCGCAGTCGAACGGATGGAAGATCGTCGGACACGGGGCTGCAAGCGAAGTGAGCGGTGGCTTTACTGGGGTGAGTCCGTGCCGGACCATACACTTTTACCCAGTAGAACTGAAGAGCGAGTCGCATAGACACTAGTAGGGATGTTTGCGACAGGAAACGGACACAATTCGACGACGCCAGCCTACTTCAGCGACTTCACCTACGATCCCGTACAGAATGTCTTCTGATAGTTGCCTCCACCTGCCGTTCCTGATATGATTTCAATAAATTTGTTGTCTGCACTATTTCAGTAAGTACGTGAAGAGCCTTGCGAAGTAGAGCTGAACCCCGCCAAATTTACGGTCCAAAGGGGGGCTTATTCAGAAAGGCTCTCGGTAATGATAGTTTGAAATCTTAGAGACCATGGTATGGCTACCTGGCGCAATGGTAGCGCGTTTGGCTTCGATCGCTCAACGGTACCAAAAGGTTGCAGGTTCGAGTCCTGCGGTGGTCATTTTGTCCTGAGGCAGATTTCAAGGCTCCAATTGTTTTGCTTGGTTGTTCGCTATGCATAACGCCTACTACCGGGACTCGTGGCCAGTCCAATTAGCAGTTGGTGGGACGCGCACCGAAGTACATGTATATGGGTGGTCGGTACGCTGGAATGGCCGGGTAGGTCCGACAGGCGTTCGAACGCTTTGAGGCGGAGGCAGTGAGGCACATCTCCGTGCCGCGCCTCGCCCTCATCGTTTGTACCTCCTGCATCGCGCCTCAGGTACTTTTGATAAATCTTGTTTTCCCTAATGTTGCACTATCATCTGGCCCTGCTCATTACTATGGTCAGGGTGACTGGTATTGAGCCTACTTATTGCCGTTTGTCTAATTTTATCAAAGTCGATCGACTACTATTATCAACTGATCAGACAAGGGGAAGACTACCTGTGTCTCTCTGTTGCTCTGATCTAGCCGCTCGCAGACGCAAGGCTCTGAGTCTTCCGGGCCCCGTTGACCAAAGAAGATGTCATAGACCGCCTCAATCTGGCAGAGGTGCTCACGCGCCGGAAAGTATATATGTGAGAGAACTGCACTCGGTGGAAGTACCCCGCACCCACGCATTCACGCGTACCCTTAACCGTACTCTACCAGCACAAACTATGCCCTCCACACCCATCGAGTTCGATGTGATTTTCGCCGGAGGTACCGTCGTGATGCTCTCCTGGTCCCTTTCGCAAGCTGCTCCTGATGCTCTGTAGGAGGAACCGCGGCGTGCCTCACCGCGAGCCGCCTCGCGGACGCGGACCCTGCGCTTCGCATCCTTATCGTCGAGGCCGGCGGGCATACCCAGGACGACCTCGCGCACATCCAGCCGGCGCGCTACCTAAGCCATCTTGCGCCGACGAGCAAGACCGTGTCCTTCATGGTCGCGAATCCTGAGTCGGCACTCAAGGGCCGCCAGACGATCGTGCCGTGCGGCAACTGTGTCGGCGGCGGCTCCAGCGTGAACTGTAACTTAAGGCTCATGTTGATATCGTGTTTTGGTGCTGACGACGGGGCGATAGTCATGATGTACACTCGCGCTGCCGCGTCTGACTACGACGACTGGGTGACAAAGTTTGAGAACCCGGGCTGGGGGTCAAAGGACCTCATTCCCCTTCTAAAGAAGGTAGAGCGTAGCGCACATGCATAGCGCGGACCGCGGCTGACAGCGCTCGCACATGTCAGACGGAAACCTACGAGGTCGCACCTGGGAAAGATGACGTACACGGCTACTCGGGCCCCCTGCGTGTCTCCTACGGCGGCATCTTCACGAACATCGGTAAGCAGTTCCTCGAGGTCGCCGCGCAATGGGACCCTAAGCGTGGGACTACCGACGACCCGAACAACCTGTTCGACGTCAACAAGTACGGGGTGCGTCGCGCATTAGCTGTATACAGGGACAGCTTAGCTTAAATAATCCATTTGTAGCGCTGGCAGAAGTTCGTTCATGGATGCACACTTGTGGGGACTCCTTTCCTAATAATTGTGACTGCAGGTGGATCTCGTCGAAGACGGGCACGCGCTCGGACGTCGCTCATCATTTCATCTATAACAAAAAGCATCCGAATGTGACCCTCACCGTGGGCCACCTCGTCAAGCGTGTTCTTTTTGAGTGTGTGGATTCTGGACAGTATCATTCTTCGTATCTTTTCGCTCACGTAAAGTCTGGCAGGGGCACACGTGCCATCGGCATTGAGTATGTGCAGAATCCAAAGTTCTTTCCAGATGCGTCCTCCCAGGTGCTTGTTGCGAAGGCAAAGCGGCTAGTCGTCTTATCAGCTGGCACGTTCGGGTCCCCAGTGATCCTCGAGCGGTCAGGCATCGGTGCCAGGGCAGTGCTCGAGAAAGCTGGTGTCGAGCAGCTCGTCGATCTACCTGGTGTCGGCGAGAACTATCAAGGTAATGCTCTGCTGCCAGTTTTCTACCGTCCTGTACCGTGCCTAACGATTAGACAGATCATCAGGTTATTTTTACGCCCTACCTTGCCAGCGAGGATTCGGAGACCATCGATGGCATCGTGCGCAACCAAAAACCTGACTTGAACAGTATGTGCGACGCTTTTATCTCTGGAGTGTTGCTCACTGTGCGCAGAATGGTCGACGCAATGGAAGCAGGACGGCTCAGGGCTCATGTCTTCGAAGTAGGCTCATTCTCTACGTACCTGCGCATTCTTACATTATTCTAGTGCCCTCGACGCTGGCGTCAAGCTCCGTCCCGACGCTGAAGAACTGAAGGCCATCGGGCCCGCCTTCACGAAGAAGTGGGAGGAGTTCTACGCACCCGCCCCCGACAAGTCCATCTTCTGGATCGGGTCGGTGTCAATGTTCGTCGGCGACCCTAGTGACAGTCCGGCGCGCAAGTACTTCAGCGTGTGCTATTTGGTCATGCACCCGTCTGCGCTCGGCTTTGTACACGTCCGCAATGGCACCGACGCGACGGTGCCGCCCGAGTTCGAGACGGGCTATCTCAAGGTCACAGACGACCTTGCGCTCCTTACGTGGGCGTACAAGCACAGCCGCGAGTACGCGCGCCGCATGCCATCCTACCGCGGCGAGTACGTGGCAGGCCACCCACAGTTCGCCGAGGGCAGCGCGGCGCTGTGCCATGGCGAGATGCGGCCCGTAGACGTCGGCGCGCCCAACATTGTGTACACGGAGGACGACGAGAAGGCAATTGATGAGTACACACGCAAAGTTGGCGAGTGGTCCTCGTTATATGTTGTGTGTATACAACCGCTGACGGCCCCTCACTACCCAGTCCAAACGGCCTGGCATTCGGTGGGTCGCGGGACACTTTTGTGGGATAGCGGCTGCTGACGATTGGTACAGCTCGGCACATGTGCGATGAAGCCTCGCGAGAAAGGCGGTGTGGTGGACTCAAGGCTGAACGTTTATGGTGTGCAAGGCCTGAAGGTAGTGGGTACGTGCGACGTCGATTTTATTGGAGCGCTCGGACTCACTTTTGTTAGACCTTTCCATTCCTCCGTCAAATGTTGCATCGGTAAGTCTCCGGCCCTTGGGCAAACGGTGTATTCACCGTATACACAGAACACATACTCGACCGCGCTCGTCATCGCAGAGAAAGCTGCGGTTATTATTGCGGAGGAGCTTGGTATCCAGGGTGTGTGATGGCCATCAGCTCAGTTGGCCCTTTGAAATGGTGGAGACCTGAGTTATACCGAAATGCTACCAACATGTATTTCGTGAGAGGTTCTCGGCTATGTTCTATGTGGATGATGACGGTGATCGGCTAGAGCCGTCGACACTGCAAGATGAAGTGCGCGTTTTGGTAGGCTTTGAGCGTCGCTTGAGCGCCAATGTTTGCCCACTTTTCGGGCCCAAACCGATGGGTAGCAATAATCCGCAAAAGTGCCTGTATTAGATCTTTATCTAACAGAATCAGGAACTGTTGACTGTTGTGAGCGGAATCGCGCAGGCGGGGATTCACGATAAATCAATGATAAATTGTCAGAATAATACATCGTGTCCTTTGTAGGTTATCTACTTCCTAATAGTATATTCAGATCAATACATTGTTCGTTAGGAAGCTGAGACTATATGACCACGCCGCATATAGTAAAAAGTGAGGTCGTGCGAGGCGCCGGCGAAAAGTCTCGAGGCCCCCGCGAGAACTGTGAATCTTTCTGTGAACGGCCCCTTTCTTTCTGTGAATCGCAGCGTGACGCCGGCCGTTTCGAGGCCGTGGACCGCCGTTTTCTGTGAATCGCCAGAAAAGAGCTGTGAACGGGCGAGGCGAGCGCCGGCGCGAAAAGGCGTGAACGCGGGCGTGAACAGGCGCCGGGTTCACAACTCTATGAGAAACGTGAGCGGGAAGTTAAACTGAGCGCCGGACTGTGTAATGATGTCACTGGGTAGTCTACCATCCAATGATGTCATCGATGGGTAAGTTCTCGATACTTCCTGCATTAGTGCCCAGCGGTGACATCATCAGATCCGGCCAGCGCCCCAAATACAACAACAACTGTGTGCTTACAAGGATTTCATTCACGCGTAGGTTAAACGGTTGGAAGCTGAATCGGTTCACTACATAGATAGACAACTACATTTGTGGCCCTCCAGAGGGAGGGCACACCGTGATTAGTACTGTGTAGCTTCGATGCCAAGCTCCAACTTCTCTCGCCAGAGCTCGGGATGAGGAAGCGTCATATCGTCAGTAGGCTTATCTGGGATGCCAAGAGGTATCATATGCTTGATCCCACCACATGTTATAATCGCAATTGCAACGCCCAGACCTCCCTGCTTTTGGATGACCTCCGACTGTCGATGAATTGTGTCAATATGCTACAGTAGTGATTCCCGACCTGTGTGCTACAGTGAGTGTAAAGATTAAACATGTTCGGCCAGGGGAGGATGGGACGCGCCTGGTAACTCTGACGAAAAACGTCCAAAGTCCACACCTCCGCATTCTTCAGGCGCATCTCACGCGGGTAGAGCTGGTGAGTGTACTCGAGTTCAACCCAGAGGATATTCTTCATGACATTCTCCGGATGGAGATCCAACCTGAGGGCTTCAAGTGCGGCCATTGTAAGGATGGGTCGCCGCGTCTGAGAGAACCGTTTCAGAAGCGTCTCCATGGCCAGTGGGTCTACGGCAGTGGTTCGTCCACTGCTCTCTTGGAGGCAGGAGGAGGCCGTCGCCTGTCGAAATTGTTGGGATTCTTTCTTTATGTTGGCACGAGTCTGCACGTTTGCACGACATGTGGTCTTGTGCTGAGGCCAGTGAGCACGCTGACACTCCCGATTCTGACGCAACGAGGTCAGTGTGCGCTATGCTCGAAACAGATGGACTCACGCAGTAATGCGAGCGCTTGCACTGCGAGCAGGTTAACAGGGGCCTATCCTCGGTCTGATCCTTAAAGTAGTGCTGGCATTGTCTGAGGACCGTGTTCGGCGCTGAGCCGGTTGTTCGTTTATCTGAGGTCGACATGGCGGATGAATATTCGATGAATAGCTACTTGGGTGGTATTGCAGCCTCTCATATATAGGACCTGATCGGGATTAGAGATCGTAGTCAGGGACGTGCTCCTGTTCCGGAGCGGGACATCGTTTGCAGCTCGCGCGCGTACCGTTTGGCTCTTCCGAGCGCTTTGGCTTCGAGTGCAAGCTCCGGCCGTGCGCTGTACCCTCAGAGGTTGCCAAACACGGATCTGTCACGTGAGGAGAGCTGATGGCCGTGATTCTTTGTGGCGTTCGGCACCGGCGTCGCCCTCAGGCTCTCCCCGACGCGGGATTTCTCTGGCACTCGTCTCATTCTCGCCATCCGTGTACGAGTCCCTACAAGTCGCCGTTCGCTATCGAAACACTCGAGATCGGTAGGCTTGGGTAAATTTTACTCCCACGGTCGCACATGATCGCCTGCTTTGCCGAGAGCTGGCATACGCGTCTTGCCGAAGCGCGCCCAATCAGTCTCCCTATATGCGACGGCCTCACGAGTCATTAGAACCGGTACCTCCTTCTTGTTCTCTATCGATATAATTTGCACAAACTGCTGCGCGGATGACGAGAAAGCGGATAACCGTTGGGGCTGAGCTTCTGTTCTACACCACCCAATGTTGCATACACCTCACACGGCCTGTCGTAAATCACGGCAATTCCCTCCGAGCGTAGACGGTCAATTCTTAGTATATATACCACGCCCGTGTTTACATCTCTAGCACTCTCAGCCACGACGCTTTTGCCGCTGCCGCTAACCATGAGTTTCTTCACCCTTCCACCGCCCCCGTCCACCAAGCTTGGACGTCATCGCCAGCTATCACCTCGCGCGGGCGTTCATGTGTCGCCCATCCAGCTCGGAGCAATGAGTATTGGCGACAAATGGACGCAGTTTGGAATGGAAAGCATGGACAAAGAGAAGAGCTTCCAGCTGCTCGACGCCTTCTACGAGGCGGGCGGCAACTTCATCGACACCGCGAATAATTAGTGAGTGCACCGCTACCACATACCGCAGTAGACTTGACGGCCGAGTAGCCAGGACGAGAGCTCGGAGGAGTTCATCGGCGAATGGATGGAGGCGCGCGGCGTACGCAAGCAGATCGTCCTCGCAACGAAATACTCCTCGGACTACAGGCGTGGCAAGGACGGTCAGCACAGCTGCTTCGTCGGGAACAGCGCCAAGTCAGTGCGCAACTCAATCGAGGACTCGCTCCGGAAGCTGCGCACGGACTACGTCGACATCCTGTACATCCACTGGTGGGACTACACGTCCTCGGTCGAGGAGGTCATGGACGGCCCGCATGCGCTGGTGCAGCAAGGCAAGGTCCTCTACCTCGGCATCTCGGACACGCCCGCCTGGGTCGTTGTGAAGGCGAACGCGTATGCGCGGTACAACGGCAAGACGCCGTTTGCAATCTACCAGGGTAAATGGAGTATCCTTGACAGGGATATCGAGAGGGACATCTTGCCAATGTGCATCAGCGAAGGTGCGCATTTCTGTCTGTCCATCGACCCCGGTACTAACGTACGCCGCTGTAGGCCTGGCTGTTGCTCCGTGGAATGTTCTCGGTGGTGGCAAGCTCCGGACGGATGCCGAGGAACAGCGCCGCATCGAGTCTGGAGAGGAAGGCCGCAAATTAACAGGCGAGTGGAAGCGCACGCCTGAGGAGCACAGGGTATGTGCCGAACTCGAGAAGGTCGCACAGGAGGTCGGCGCCCAGAGCATTACCTCCGTCGCCATCGCGTGGATCATGCAGAAGGCCCCGTATGTCTTCTCGATCGTCGGAGGCCGTAAGGTCGAGCACCTCCACCAGAACCTGGAGGCGCTGTCTCTGCACCTTACCGACGAGCACATAAAGAGGCTGGACGAGATCGTGTCATTCAGTAGAGGCTGGCCCTACGATCGCTTCGTGAGTGGTGATGCACCGTGTCTCTGAGAGCGTGTCTCTTACCCCACTGGCATGGGCAGGGCGACGGCACCGAGTACTTTGTTGGCTACAAGCTAGCGGGCCACTTTGATAAGTGGCCTAGAGCGGGAGCTATTAAACCTCCTGCGTAGGACATATTACTACCCAATGTAACGCTTGTCGAAGCGTCACGCGGAATGGACCTATACGTATCGTCAAGCCAGCACCCAAAGGACGGCGTTCTATCGGCATGTCAACAGGCGATCCCAAGTACCCCGAAACAAAAAGATTGAACGATAATTGTACTGTGAGATATGCGACATCAAGCTGCCAGAGCTAGCTGTGCTCCGTGTGGTGTGTGCCGTCTCTTGCTAGGGGAGTACTTCCAGAGGGGCACCTATATCCTTTGCGCGCGAGCTCGAGCTAGAATGAGTGGGGAGGGAATATGGAGACAGAGACAATCCCACCTCACTGTCTCGGTTCTGCTGGCGTTGCTTGGAAGCACACTGTCTGGAGTAGTCCCGAAGATCAGTCCAAGGTTCATTTCGCGCGACTGGAACGTGATCAGATGACTGGATGTCCCCGCTTGAGCGGCGCAAATGTAGAACCGGGGAGCCACGGCATCTGTCACACGTAAGGCTTGGCCCGCAGACAAGATTGCAGAACGGGCGTGCTGTGAGTGATTCGAACTGGCGGATCACGGAGTGTGCAGGCGATTCGACGGCTATCATGCCAGTATTGCATTGGTATTGACCAGTAAGACCTGGAATTCCTGGCGATACAACTGATTCCAATTATTTCAGCGTCAAGCTAGGACACTCGCGACCTTGCGATACGCTGACCGGCGAGCTCAAGAGCGTTTGTGGTGAGTTCGAGAGCTGTTGAAGGGCGCCTAATGGCAGAGCGAACGCCCGGAGATAACCGGAAAAGCGCGCCTATGTGCGTTAGGAAATTCTCAAAATATTCAAGTCTCGCGGCTGGCGGCCATCCTCAAGCACGAAAGGATCGGTCTGCACGAGGTTGCGCAGTATTCTAAGTGAGGAGTTGCGACATGTGAGCGAACGACGATGCCAGTGAGCGTTTTACTACGAGAGCTATTCGTACAGGATATTAAAGTGGGGCTGGAATATTAGAAAGAGTGATAAAATGGAGATTATATGAAGTACAGGCACAGGTAACTAGCAGGGATAAGCCGATTAAAACGATACGAATGGAATTAATTCTCTACTGGTGGCCGTCATGCCACCCGTGGGTCGGTACTAGTCTGGTAGCGGACATGACGGCACACAGAGTTGAAACATCATTAGCTCAGTCATTGCGTATTTTTAGTGTATCGTGCTTTATCCGCCGTTCGATTCTTCAGCGCTTTAGCTGTTTTGCAAAGCCCGGCCCCTCAGAGATTCCCAAACTCTGAGCTATCAGGTGACGGGAGCTGATAGCCGTGAAACTTTGTGGCGTTCGGCACTCGGGCTCTCCGACCCAGACTCGAACCAGCTGGCTATTAGACGAGTCCTGGTTTCGCAAATGAATTCGAGGATGCGGATTTCTGGGACATTTCGCTAGCAAGGGGCTATGAAACAGCCCGGGGATGTCCGAGTCTCCTTCTGACCGGGGATTTCTCTGACACTTGTTCATGCACATGTCTCACTTCCTACAGCCACCATCCAGTCTTGAAACATTAGAGATTGACCGACTAGAATAGCCACCCCCTCCCCAAGATTGCACATGATTGTCCCAGCTTTGCCGAGAGCTGGCGTACACATCTTGCCGAAGCGCGCTCAAGCTCAAGCTCGCCCATTTCTTGTTATATATTAGCCTCGCCCATGTCCACATCGTCAGCTCTCAGTCACGACACATTTTAATCTGCTGCTACTGAACATGAGCTTCTTGAACATTCCGCCACCGCCAGCTGTCGTCCCGCGCGGGAGTCCATGTGTCGCCCATCCAGCTCGGTGGAATGAGCATTGGCGACGGATGGGTACAGTTTGGAATGGGGAGCATGGACAAGGAGAGCAGCTTCCAGCTGCTAGACGCCTTCTATGAGGCAGGTGGCAACTTCATTGACACTTCGAGCAACTAGTGGGTGCACTGCCACCTTGTACCGTACGTCGGTAGAGCTGACGGCTGAGCAGCCAGGACGAGAGCTCGGAGGAGTTCATCGGCGAGTGGATGGAGGCTCGCGGCGTCCGCAAGCAGATCGTCCTCGCGACGAAGTACACCACAGATTACAGACGCGGCAAGGACGGTCAGCACAGCTGCTTCATCGGGAACAACGTTAAGTCGATGCGCAACTCAATCGAGGATTCACTCCGGAAGCTGTGCACGGACTACGTCGACATCCTGTATATCCACTGGTGGGATATGCATGCTCGGTCGAGGAGGTCATGGACGGCCTGCACGTGCTCGTGCAGCAGGGCAAGGCCCTCTACCTCGGCATCTCAGACTCACCCGCCTGGGTCGTTGTGAAAGCGAACTCGTACGCGCGGTACAATGGCAAGACGCCATTTGCGATTTACCAAGGCATGTGGAGTATCCTTGATAGAGATCTCGAGAGGGACATCTTACCTATGTGTATTAGCGAAGGTGCGCACACCTTGATGCTAATCAACACCAACGCTGACGGTCGCTGCCTTTAGGTCTGGCTATTGCTCCGTGGAATGTCCTCGGAGGTGGCAAGCTCCGGACGGATGCCGAAGAGCAGCGTCGCATCGAGTCTGGCGAGGAGGGTCGCAAGCTAACGGGCGACTGGAAGCGCACGCCCGAGCAGCGCAGGGTCTGTGCCGAGCTCGAGAAGGTCGCACAGGAGATCGGTGCACAAAGCATCACCTCCGTCGCTATCGCCTGGGTCATGCAGAAGGCCCCGTACGTCTTCCCGATCGTCGGTGGCCGCAAGGTCGAGCATCTCCACCAGAACCTAGAGGCGCTGTCTCTACACCTCAACGACGAACAGATAAAGAGGCTGGACGATATTGTGCCGTTCAGCAGGGGTTGGCCTTACAATCGTTACGTGAGTCATGATGTATCTTTGTCTCCGACTCAGCAGTGTCTCTTACCTCACCTGCGTGGACAGGGCGACGGCACCGAGTACTTTGCTGTCTGGAAGGCGGCGGGACACTTTGACAAGTGGCCTATGGCGGGAGCTATTAAGCCTCCTGTGTAAGAGATACCACTATCTAAAGTAGTACTTACCTGTCGAGGCGTCACCGCAACGGCCGGTAATCACCGGACTTCCTGGAGGTAAACCTGACTTGAAATCATTCCAATGTCAGGATATTGTCGTCAAAGCCTACATTTCTGCCTCCGGTGATCTCGTCGAAGCAAGTGTACTTAGCATATAACTATGAAGGTTGAAGGGGGACAGAAATGAATACCTTGTGTTCGCAGCGCCGAATCTTGTTTTCGCGGTAGTCTACAGCTTATCTCACTTAATACATCCAATTTGTTTGCATGTCAGAGAACATCTAAACTCACCGCTGTGCACAATGCTCAGGCGGATAAGTGCACAAAAATGTTCTCAAGCCGCATTTCGTCCGCATCAAAACTCGCGCGTGGGCCCGGGACTCGTTTTCGCACGGTGCTTATCATAGAATTCCCTATTTGAGCGATTATTATATCTAAATACGAAAATTCTGTGATGAACACTAAAGCACTAATGCGCCAAGGTGCACGATTGTGCACAGAAATGTCATACCTGGAGAAGTCAAAACTCCCATAACTCCAAGTTGTGTCTGCGTGGGCGTACAAAATTGAACAAATGTGCACTGACTTATAAGATCACGCACAACAGTGAGTTTAGATGCACGTAGATCATTTCACTAACATACAAATAAATCAGGCATATTACAGTGAAAATAAGTCGTCGACCGCTGCGAATACAAGATTCGGCACTGCGAAAACAAGATATTTGCTTTTGTCCGTAACCCAGTCACTGTAATATTCATATTCATAACCTTGATCACGCAGACCGCCGGTCGCGAGTGACCGCTTTAGAGCTTATATCCTTCAGCGAATCCACTGTGATCCCATCCCTGCTTCTCCTCTCCCTC